TGGAGACGAGAATTTCTTTTCAGAACTCGAAAAACCTATATCTTGAGAAACATGACTTGGAACACATGTAACGTGTTTGAATTGATTTATACGGTTTCGTTGAGGCTGTTTCACTTGCTACGATTTGTCGTTTACGTTTTCTTCTCGGATTTATCGTGCGGCCTTTTAAATTAATCTTCATTATCTTTGTATGTGAATTATTTTGTATAAATGTAGGTAGTGCAGGGAAATTAAGTGCGCATGACTTCAGTACAAGGGTGCTTCACAAATGCACATGTTGTAACTTAAATACCGAAGATATTATTTTAATTAGCATATGTAATAACTCTTAATTGTATTCACAGTAGTACCACACGTACACGTTTTGAAATTGCACGTGGTATTTGCACAGTTTCTTCGTTTTCGTACCTTTGTATTATTTAAATACACCGTATTATTATTTTCGTCGAATAGCTGCCGAGGAAAGATTAATTACGTCATTTAATATTTTTCAATTGGCTTAGTCGTTCTATCGTGAAACGACGGTAAGAATTAGAAACGACCAAAAGTCGTGCGTCTGAAATGTATTAATTTCCAGATACTGTCGTCAATTCCTTGGCATATGGCAAAGGCGCGCGTGCTCATACGCCACTTGTCTAAGTAAGTCTAAAATAAACGATCTGAAACAGTGTACATACATATGTACATAAAGTGTACATACAAAGCATCCATCGCAGATATTTCATGCCGTAGCACGCGATGTCTCGTGCGGGAATTTTAATGTTATTACGGCGAAAATACTTAGGCTGCATTAGTGGAAACAGACGACTCGAGTCTCTTGTCGCTTTAAGTTGTTAATCATCTGTCGAAATAAACGTGTCAATGCAAATTTCTGACATGCTTTCCACTTAATAGAGCAATAATATTCTCGAGCCATTTTTTTTTTTACATTACGTGTGCTACTGTGATCTGTTTCTTTAGTAATCTTGCTCAGAAATGTGAAATTGAATATGTTTCAAATATCTTTATTCTTCGAAAAAATTTTGTCTCATCTGAGAAGCAGTTGTGCGTTATATGGATCACACTGTTAACCTTGTGTTTATGCTGTTTTTTAAAATTTTCATTTAAATTTATTCAATTATTCTGTTAATTAAAAAGATAATTTTAATCTATCTTTGTTCTGTTATGCTATCAGTAAAGAGAATGTAATTTAAAACATAGTCTATGGAAAGCATAATTAAAGGAAGAGGAATAGTGTAGGGAAATCAAATTCTTTAAATTTCATCTTTCACAGCACCAAAGCTAGGACACGTATGTTTGTGATAATGAAACGGCTTTAGGAAACATAAACCAAAATGTAATTTTATATTTTCACGTAACATTTCCGTTCTTGGTTATTTTGCCAACTTTTTGGATAAAAGTTTGCGTGTTCTTCCGTCGAGCACACGTGTCACACATTTCGTGTCTTTGCTTCTTCTCAATTTAGTCAGAAACAGAAATTTTTATTACTTTTTACAGATCTTTCCCCTTTGATAAGGTCTTATTGACGTGGAATATTCCCTCCGTGCGTCTTAACGCTCGATACCTCCACTTGCAAATTCTCACAAAGAAATTTCTCTTCGGAGATTATTTCCTGTTTTCTCAAGTATTCTGCTAAACTTTCACGTGCACGTCGTTCCTACCTTCCGCGATAGTTTTGCAAAATTCATTCCATCCAGTTGCAAGACACGTTTTCGTCGCGTGATTTATCACGATCAGCATGTAATTAACAGGCGATTCATCCCGGTAAAAGAAACTGTTATTCATCTTTTCATTATCAGAGTCGTTTGCTTAATTCGTCGTTTTCACCGCGGCTGATAAATATTTATGGTCTTGGCTTCCTTTGCTTGTTCACGATCGGGAAACCGGACTTCTCGGCGAAACTGGAACACAAAGACCCGCGAAAATTACTTTGGGTGTTCTCTCCGAAGATCGGCAGTATTGCATTAAATGAGCAATTTTGCCAAACTATCGTACAATGAAGGAAAGACAGAAAAAGAGAGAGAGAGAGAGAGAGAGAGAGAGGTCGCAGAAAGACTCTGGTGCACAATTTCATTTTATTCGAGGCTCGTTTACAGCTGCAAAGGCGTCGTTTACAGTTGCGAACGCAACGCCTGGCTAAAAATTATTTCAACGCCAGTCCATAGATTCCCAAGAGATTACTTCGCCGTGAAAGTGTCGCGGAATTTATGTCAGCTTCGCTCAAATATATTTCCTTATAGTAACCATCGTGGCTCGTTAATTATAATCATTAAATTATTCAGGAAGTTCGTGTCGACTTTTTAATAAACAAGCAACATCGTATTTCAATTTTTAATGATTATTATTTAATTGTTAATAACTGGTTGATCGCTTAAGAGGCTGAAACGCGCGGGGGAAGAAGCTTTCGGACTATAAACGTATGAATTTCATTTATTTCAATTGGATCCGATATATTTGAAAAGCACTCGATAATAAATTGACATATATTTTGGCATTGTTCGATATTTTCCTCGTCCACTAGGCGAATATTAAATGTCGCAAATGCAGTTTTATTAAACGTGCGAATGAGTTTCATCTTCGTTTCAGAAGAATTTATCTCGAATAATTCATAAACGTTGAGTTTAATGGCGAAAGAGATTCAGCTTCTCGTTAAATGTTTCATTCCAGATTAAATATACGATTGAATTAGACGCGAGTTGAATTATTATAGTTATTCGTTATGTTGCTTCTCCTTTTTCTTTCTAAGAAACGATCCACCCATTATGGTTTAGATTAAGAGAACTTTCGTTCCCTTTACCATTTTCATTTCTACAATTTTTATTATACAATGGACTATTTCCTTTGAATCATAGAAATGTTCAGTCTTGACAAAACTATACAAGTTATTTTAAATGAGGTATGATTGATGATATTGGTTCTCATATCGACATCTCTATTTTAGTTTTCATAAGATTGGTAAATATTTTGATGTAGAAATTAAATTACAAAGCAATTGCTTTGTCTCGTACGTATACCACAATGTATACGTACATTATAATTTTACTTTTATCAATCTTTAAAATCAGATCTCAATCTGAAGGCCGAATGTAGAGGAAAAGTTCAATAAATTCTCTGAAACAAAAATCGAGACCATTGGTCTCCGCGAACACCAATTTAATTATATAAATATTTAACTCGTGCACGCGTGGACCTCAGTATCCAAGGATAAACAATGATCTATGTTTCGACGTGATGAGAAAACATCGGTAGTCGTGAAACTTCCTCTGGCATCCATATGAAATCCATCCAGTGGTCATCCAATTCACAATCGGAGGAAATCCAACTTTACGGATATCATAAAGCAGATGACTTTAACGACGACGCTAGGAATATTACAGTCTTAACACCGGACTTAGAACAACGATTTCGCGAATTACTCTTTAAATGCGCGTCAATAAAACAGCCACAAAGCTTTCCTTTCGCGCGGAAATTCTCTGCGAATACGATCGCCGCGATTGTATACGTTAAAGAGCGATAAAGGAGAAGGGGGAAAAGCAAAAGAAAAAAAAAAGAAAAGAAAATTATCTATCTACTCTTGCATAATTCTTCTTTCTGTTCTTGGGGCGTGTCTTTGCTTTCTTTTTTTTCCAATCGTTTAACTGCGTTCGAGTTCGATTTATAAGAGGGCGAGTCCGCTTGCAGAGCAAGTAGTCGGTAATGAAGTGGATTTTTCAGACAATCCGGACCGTGTTTGAGAAATGACGGCGCCAAACTCTGTCCGAGGATGAAGGTTAAACGGATTTGAAGAGGAAATTAAAAGGATTGGTAGAGATCATTTTTTCGTGAAATAATTATTTTGCATCTCTTCTGTATCTTTATTCGTAGCATTTCCTATTAATGCGAGTTCTTTCGTTGTTTGTAATTTGAAAATATTTCGTTGCGTGTAATGCGTGTCAACTTTACTTTTGAAAAAATTATTTCCCGCACGAACGTTGTGTCATTTAATTTTTTTCTTTTTCTTTTGTTCCCCTCTACGAGAAATAGGAATTATCTGCGCGTGAATTTAATTACATCGGCGAAATCGGTTCCGAAAGTTTCCAGTTAATTAATACGAAGTCCGAATTTACTTGTTACTTTATAAAGCCCCGACGTAATTTATATTTAAATATCCGTAAATTGAGTTTCTATGTAGTTTCAATATTTCCATTCCGTTGTGACGTGATATGATTCAACAAATAAAATATGTGAACATTTTGCTTTAAATTTATGATTACGATATTTGACACGATTAACATAGATAACACTGAGATAAGAAACTTGTTCAAATGCATCAAAGCATTCAAATTTATTCGTAAGTTTTAGAAAGGTATAAATAAACAATTCGCGAGATTGTTGAATTCTTCGCTAAGACGCGCGAACTCGTACGCTACGCGATGCATTTAAATGAGCGCGATTGCCGCAACACATCTCTTATTCTGTGTAGGGTAATTATGACACCGTATTCCTATTTAATTCAGTTTTAATATAAAATTGCATCATGTTTGGAAGTCTTCTTTAAGTGACGCAATTTTATCTTGATTATGCTCGGTTAATGAAAGCACTGACAAGGATGAGATTAATACTAACGATAAATAATGTTGTGAAGTGATACTAAAACATTCACTTGGCTGTTAAAATTATCAACGATTCGATAACTCGACGTAGAATGTACTTGTATGGTTAAAATAGAATTATTGTTAAAAATGTAACATAAAATGTGTTAAAATTTATTTAATGTATTATATATTATATATTAATGAAATTAGAAAAATTCTAAAATATCTTTTTTGATATATATATATATATATATATATAAAATTAAATAAATTCACAAAGTTGATATTAAAACTGACTGAAGACAACGAAAAATAACGTGTTCAACGTTAAATTCAAGACAGTGAATTTATTATCAGATTAAATTTTACAAATCTCAGCTTGCGAAGGAAAATGAAAAGACGGAAAAAATTGTCAAGGTGTCCTACCTTGCTACAACGATGAACTTACGCGAATTACACGAATGTCGTCTCCTAATTGATTTGTCATTCGTTGTTTCCTCACTTTTCACTTTAAAGTTTCACGTCGCGTGTAAACTGTTTGAAAAACTTTCGCTCAATTTTCACCGTACATCAGTCCTTTGTTATTATCACCGAATCTTCTTACTAAAATCGTCGTTTTAAAATTTACTTCTTCCAATCGTGATTAAGCTAGTTTAACGTTTCACTTGTCATCTTTGGTTTCTTTTTTCATTTTACTCCATTTTCATTCGCACAAATAACTGCAGCGCTGTTTGTTTAAAACTCGCACGTAACAACGATCCGTTCATCAGTTCAATCGATTCTATTACTCAACAAGTATGCACCCGCCACAGTTAATCGCAGACCACTATCTGAACGTTTCGAGCACATTCCCTGTGACAGCACTATCCATTCCAGAGTCATCAAGGTACGATCATTACCTTCCCTTAATTGCCTCATATTAATAAGCAATCAACAATTTACAATTAGAACTTAACCAGGCGTTACTCGAGACAGTCTTGCGTTCGTGTCTTGTGTAACGACATTTAATTAGTTGTCATCGATTCTCGATCGTCGCGCGAGCCCTCCACGGTCCATCTTATAACATTATACCATTGATATTCTTTCGCTTTCTTTCGTTTTCAACAATTCCAAGGAAGAAAGGAACGAAGCAGATGAGAAAGAAAAATATACAGACTGCTCACCGGGAGACAATATCTGTGATACGTGGAGAAAATTGTTTCATTTCTTTTTCTTTTTCTTTCTCTTCTTTTTTCTCTTTTTCTTTGGCAAGGGTAGTACGGTACAAAGTTTCATGAAGCGCGGCTACCGGCAGACTGCGAACTTTGCTTAAAGGACCAAACGGCGACTAGAAAGCGCGCACCCTTACTGCGCACCCCTAATAAACACGATATACACCATTTATATTTCCTCGTGAAGGTGTCTATTCGAATCGCCGTGATGTCTCAAGGGTAGTCGATTTTTCGAGGCTTTTTTTTTTTTTTTAAGTGAACACCATACACAGTCATTCACATTTCACTGTCTCGTATCTCACTCGGACCTTTAATTGTTGTAATAAAATCCAATGTTATATTTTGCAAGCCTTTTCGTAATTTAATTCTGTACCTCTTTTTTCTTTTTTTTTTTTTTTATCGCGAACGCCTTTAACTTTTTAATTAGTAAACTTTTTCAGTTAACAATTTCAACGGTATTGTACTATATTGTAGTATATCTGCAGATGATCTGTAGATTATACAAAGTGTCGTAAGGATGTAATTCTACGTGAAAAAAGAAAAAATAAATATGGTATTTCGAATATTAGACAATGTTATTGATCTGTGACATTTTTCGCAATACTTTTAACACGCTATAAATCTAAATTATTATAGTCACAAAATTTCTCCCTAATCATCTACATGTGTACTTCATGAGTACGCTAGCGCCAAGGTACAGTAATTAAGCGATGTATTAAATAGGCGGATATTTATGCAAGTTCAAGTTTTTATGAGTGGAAGTGAAAAAAGGAGAATCAACTATTCTTCGTTAATGTGTTGACCACGCGAAATCTTGTGTTTTGTTTATTTAATTTCTATAAAATATTTAATTTCTATAAGATATTACAACAAAAGTGTATTTTTATTATAATATTATCTAATTATTATTTATGTCATTTAGAATTCATTAATGATATTCATTTCATTTTACTAAATTCTAAAATATTAATAAAAGTAGAACACTTTGTATATCTTAAATATTACCATATTAAACGCCGCATCAATGACTGACGGTATAAAAATAAGAAAAAAAAAAAATGATAATAAATAGAAATGATATCCCGATTATATTAGAAATTGAAATTTTTAAGGTTAAAGAATGATAAATATTAAGGCTCGCTGTGCTATTTGCATTCTACGTATCTTTGTACGATAAAATTTGCTAAAGAGGTGTATAATTCATAGTTTATTTAGACAGAGGATTATTATCACTGTTATTCTTAGGATGCCCGATCTCAAGATAGTACGGTCAATATCCGAGTGTGAATAAACTAAATGTTGAATTTACTGCGATTTTACTATTGTTCGCTTTTCTCTGCAAGAGAAAAAGTGACTGAATGGTCCGTACAAATCTGTTTTCATCACAGAACGTGGATCCATCACTTGTTAAGAGCTTCAAGACAGTTGTTTCATTTGTCATCGAACCAAAGAAAGAAAAAAAAAAAAAAAAAAAGAAATAGAAGAGATAGATTTTGTTATGAGCTTTTCACATGGAGAATCAAATCTGACAACCTTCTCGATTGTTTCATCCCTCTGATGATTCATAGAGTTCTTTTACGAAATTTTCGGATTTCTGGTAGCTGTTTTAATTGAGAGTTATATACTTCAGATGCACCTTTTTAATATTTATCAATTGAGAGATTAATTGACGTTGCCGAAAAATCATTTCTCGCGTTTGGCTTTAAAAATCAAATGTTTGAAAACTTCGTCTTGCTAGCTGTAAAGTTTATTTAACGACGACAAGTTTTTATTTAATATACGAAATTTACTTCCGAATGAAAATAGAATCGATAGAGTAACGCTCAGTTATTGTCCAATATCGGAATATTGAACAATACAGCTATAGCATCATTTATTCACGATACGTATCAAATTAATTTTTCATCCATAGAAATGTTATTTAAAACGCAGAAGCAGAAGCATTTCCATTTTGTTCGATACAAATGGTCAAGCTTATCACGTAGAAACCATTTGCCAGGTTTATTTTCGATTGAAATCGTTTCTTTCTGTCCGGGTCTGAATAATTTCTTAAAATGAACGATCTGTTTTCGTTCTTCAAGGATTTACCAACACGAATGTATATCAAGATTTACAATGGCTTCGTATCACGAAGTAAAGAATTCTATAAACACTGAACTTGAAGCCATTTGTATGCTTCGTTTGGCAGCAGCTTCTCCAAACAGAAAACAGAAAACGGTTTGATTGACAAAGTTTATTATAGGAAGGAAGCGGTTTAACTTGGTTTGAAACATAGAGTTAGCATTCTGTGGCGCGTAAACGAATCGTATGAGCCTCTGTATTCTCAATTGGAAACGTTGAACGACGCGAACGTCTTATAAGGCACGTATGAGCACCTCCATTTGCCACGTGTGCAAGCGTAGGCGTTGAAATATCGGAAGGTTCGCTTCAAAGGTGATACTTTGGCCTTGATGATAGATTTTGTATATTCTCTCCATACTTCCGTTTCTTTAAGAATGTCGTTCAATAAAGTACTTCCTATTTCGCTAAAAAGCGAAGAAATTGGAAAATTCTGTTCGTCGAATATGAAAGAATTTTGTGTTTCTATTTTTCATAATGCGTACGTTCTATGGTTCGTTCAATTTATTAAATTTATTAAATTTTATTTTATTTAATTAATTTTATTTTGAATTTAAATTTGTCGCAGTATTTTTTTTTTTTGTCTTATGAATTTGAAGAAAGATTTTATTAAATGATCAATTTCTTTGAATACGTTGGGACGTAATGATTTAATTCATAAAATTTGAGAAGACAGATCTCCTCAACTTGAATTTCTTTCAAGTTTTCAATCCCACATATTTTATACCGAAATACGTTGAATACGTGAACGCTGGAGCTATTTTGTAAAAGGATACAACTCATATTTGAAACCCACAGACAGCATTGACAATCGATTTAACCTACTTTTACATAGTTGGAGTTTGTGCTTCGGGCCTTTGCATAAATTCATTTATGTGTAAATCGCGAAAGATTATAGCAAATTAACATCGGCTAACTTTGAGAAGTAACGTCTCTTTATTGCCTTTGAGATTTCCAGTCTATAATTATTCCATTATTTATCAAAGTTTTAAATCTTGTAGAATTTGGTTGCTCCTGATGCCTTTATCAGTTGTTTGTTTGAAAGATAATTCGAAAGTTTGAAGAAAATAGTAATATCGATTACTGACACTTTCAGTAAAAACATATTTTTAATTAAACCGTACAATTATATTAATTGTAAAAAATTAAATAAACTAAATGTGCAATGACATAAATGAAGGAAAAAGCTGTTATGTAATAAAACATGTAATTTAGGTGAATACCTCAAAATTTATCACTAAAAGACAGTATTCCAAAAGAACAATGCTGGTTTATGCACCGTTGAAATCAATTTTGGCTGCTAGTTGCCGAACGTAGCACAGTTCAGTTACTCTACATTTCATTCTTCCAAAAATTTCACAAAAATCTACAGCATCACTGTTTTTCGCAAAATAAAACGAAAGCAAAAGATCGAGTATATTAGAGTTAGGAAGGAACTAGACTAAAAAATTTGGGATATTTATTACCCTGGAAAGAAGATTGAAAAATTATCATAAAGGTATCCAACATATAATGGAGTGTCATGAGAATAAACGATGCTAGTTTTATACAAAAACATTGCTTAGCAATGTCTCTCAAATTTATGAAATAATATGATGGAAATTCATGTAATCATGAAACTTGATAGTCACACAGAACGACAATACAATATTGAAACGTTATATTGTTGAAATCACAATAATTGGACTATTTATTAAATTTATTTAAAATACTTTTATAAACAGGAAATTTGCCAATTTGCCATTAAAAGCACGTAGTATTTTCATAATATTTGTAATATTTTGTTTACAACATTTTTATAATATTTAGCGAGTGAAACAATCCTGCGTAAACATCGTTAATCGAATAACAAGTAACTCCAGTAATCTAGTAACATTAACTTCTATCATTTCGTATCAATTCGAAATTCCAGTGAACAACTTTAAATTAGTAAAAGCTAGCAAGTTGAAAAGGAAAAGTTAGTAGATTGGAATTGAAAGTTTCGTCGAGGAACGACTGATAGATCTTTCGAGAGGTTGGTACACCTTGAAGATGTACATACGTACATTTGACGTTTTTCGCGAAATGCTTTATGCTTCGAAAGTTCTCGATGGATTATTCTGAAATCTGTGCCTTCCGAGACTTACCAATTCAAATCTAACGTCGTGTCAGCTTCAAGGTCGACGTGGCTAACACTCCACCCGAGTATTCGCGAGAATGGAACCAGAAACGAAGACGTATCCGAGGCGTTACTAATTCAAAATTGTTTTCAGCCTCGAGTTGCTCTTTTCGTTGATGGTCTGGATGAAATTAATCGCGCCCGCACTATAACCCAGTTTCCAACGAGTTATGACTGGTAGAATTTTAATTGATTTCTACGAGTGACTCTTTCACAAGTCGGAACAATATGAAAGAAATTAATGTAGCTGCTTGTAGCACATTTTCTGCTAAAAGAAGTAGAGAAAATGTAAATGTGATGTTAGTTGAGGATATTAAATTTAATCTTCTTCGTAAAATGTCCTGCTTATGTTATTGTTTTACCAAATTGTCAAAATTATTTAAAAAACATAATTGTTGAAATATTATTAAAAAAAGAAAAGGGAAAAATACAGAATTATTTTATTCTGGACGAGAGGAGCTTTTTAAATTTTCAGTATAACGCTTGATATTTTCCATCCTGAAGAATATTTATCGATACTATGGTACTACTATTTACCTCGCTTCGGTACTACGAGTTCTTGATAATTCATAAAGTGACAAAGATATTGCCGTCGAATATTTCCTTTCAAGCAAGCAGCCATATTCTTTCGAAGATTTCAATATACGCTTACACGTATTTCTCGCGAATCACTGTAAATTCATGTTGACAATAACGATTAAAATTTAGGTAACAATTTTCGTTCTAGCCGAGTTACACGAATTACACGAATACTTTTTGAATATTTCATTAATATCATGACCGAATAGTTCGTACCTAAAGAAAGCTGAATAATTCATGTCTCGTCCCATGCTAATAAGTGTTCTGTGCTAAACGCAAGATATTGTACTTAAAGTACTTCGTAGAAACTACTTTTCAAGACTTCGAACTAACATTAATGAAGAATGTCGTGTGACGAAAATAATTAAGCGAAAATATTTTATAAACTGTGTTCCAGGACATTTTCCCAGGTAGCTCGATATTTATTGTTTAATTTGAGATATTTTGATTATTTTCGACGATAGATTTTATTAATTTCATTAAATACGAAAATTATTATAAGAGAAAATTTGTAAAAGCGAGATTATTTAATGGAATAATTCGATAATTTCATTACTGACGAAACAATAATTTATTCGTTTCCCATTGTGTTCTCTAAATATTCGTAAATTAATAAATATCGTACGGAATTAACAGAGAGAGATTTCTCTTAAGAGAGATATCGATTGAATTTGTTATTCACTGCTAAGAAATCCGATTTACGTTGTACCGATGAAAAGTGTGATAAAAATTTGGAATACTAGCCTCCCAGTGATCTAGGAAATTGGAAACTTCCGAAAGTGACAATGGATCCCGGTAAATTTGATTTGAAACAAAAGTGTAAAATAGAAACTTGATTGAAATATTTTATTTAAATGATATCCAAGCTCGGATTACATTTGAATAAAATTTATGTATTTCAGAGACTGGAACTCGTGCATGCAATAAATTTACTTTATACTCAATTCATTTTCAACGTCATATTTTGAAAGAAAAAAAAAGAAACATTTTCTGCTATCAGTTCTTTCATTCTCTTGTCTTCTTCCTGTAACGAAAAACTTTACTATTGGTTTTACTACAACTGAACAGACGATATCGATGCTTTAAAAATTGCGTAAAATTTTAGGGAAACTTCTAAAACAAGTCACGCGTATCCTGACTGGTTTTGTCATGTCGTATTTATATGATAATTCTAATATTTTCCACCAAGTTTTTATTGGTTTCTCGCGATAGCAGCGGTGCACGATTTTTTTCGTCGCTGACGAAATATCAGAAATACCGTTTGCAAATTGAATTTGCTTCGCAAGGTATTGTTTAACAAAAGAATTGATTGAGTTTTATTGGGTTTGATTTTCCAACCGTGAAGAAGGTCTCTTCTAAATTTTTTTAAATAACATTGACTTTGTGCTGTAGTGTTAAATTTGATAGAGATATTAAATAACATTGCGACAATTCTTGAAAAATTGTAAAACATCTTGCAATAATTCATCAGAAATTTGAAGAAATAATTTTCGAAGGTGTAATAAATGAGTTTGAAAATAAAATTCGTGTGATATGAGCGAAGATTAATTTCTGTGCCAGAAAAATTACATTTTAATAGAATGTTAAATAGGGAAATTGATGAAAATTGCAATGTAGTGAAGTATGTGAACTTCAGAAAAATTAAATTGTCAATCTATCAAATTTACATTCTCGTAAACTAATACCGGGATCTTCAATTTCCACGTGTTACAGAAACTAAATCTAAATCAGTATTAACTTGTGAATAGTTAATGTCATACCTTCACTGTGTGATGTAATGTTCTCTCTCGTGAATGCATTACACGAAAATTATAGGGACGCAGGGATTATACACAAATAAACGTGCCATTGATGCTTTTTAATACTTGCGCATTATATTAAAACTTTCATTAAAAATACAAGATCCGTGTTTACAACGTATCGATGAATTACATTTTCTCATCAACGCGAAAACACATAAATCAAAACTTATTCATTATGTGATTTACTATTTTGCCTTGGTCATTCTTATATTCGATCTCGCTGTCTTTCTCCTTAAATACATATACAATTTTTCTTTCTAGGGATTTCAGGCAACGGTAAAGGAAGTAATTTTCCAGCATTTTCAATTATACTAGCCTCAACTTGAATCTGCTGGTTCAACAAATTTTTCAGGCTGGACGCACCTCCTTCAGCCAGCTTCCCAACCAAGCCGAGTGTTCCTAGGAGGGCTTTCAATTCCAAACCGCTAATGCCAAGCTTCTCCGCTCCCAAGCTCAATATGTTCTGAAGATCGGCGCCTCCCTTCAACGCTGCTATGATTTTTACCACCGTATTTTTGAGTAACTCTGCTTCAATAGGACCGAAGACAATGTTCTTCAAGTTCAAGGCACTAAGGTCGATAAGGCCTTTCTTCTGCAGTTCAGCAATTACAGGAGCTATCGATTTGAGCAAATTCAAGTCCAAGAGGCCTTTGCCTTTCAGCAAACCCAGAGCTTCCTGAAGCTTCTTACTTCCTTCTGCAGCTAAGTTCGCGTTCTCGTTCCAGTTCGAGTTCCAGTTTTCGTTCGAGTTCGAGTTAGAATTCGAGTTCCAGTTCTCGTTCGCGTTCTCGTTCGCGCTCGCGTTCGCGTTCGCGCTCGCGTTCGCGCTCGCGTTCGCAATCGCGCTCAGGATTTTCTCTATTTTGGCCCTTAATTTCAAGATGATATTTGCGTCTAAAAGGCCGCCACCGTTTTTGCCCTCTTGCACCAACTGAGCAATTATGGCGAGCTTCTCTTGAATTTCTTTCAAGATTTTGATGTTCTCGCTATTCAATAAATTACCGATGTTTTTGCCTCCCTTTAGCGATTCAAGAATCAGGGCAATCTTCTCTTTCAGCTTCCCCAGGACCGTTTCGCCTTCGTTTAAGTTCAACACACTCTTGAGATCTTTGCCTCCTTTCAGGCATTCGAGGATGGTTCTAATCTGCTCCAGGATGTCTTTGCATTCCAAATTCGGGCGTACCTTGTCTGTGAAAATGTTATTCGTTGATTCGCAAGGTGAAAGAGACGATCTTTTATATATTTGTATATCATTGTGCAATTTTTGGTATTTATACAAATATAATATCAATTATAAACATACACTGCTCACAAAAATTAGGGGATATTTCAAAATGAATATGAAGCGGTAGAAAAAGAAGCATTTGATTTTGCTTTTCTGCTTTTTCGCGTTGCTTTTTTGCTTTTCTGATGTTCTTGTTTAATAAAAAAACAAAAAATCGAATGCTTCTTTTTTATATCCAGTGCAAATATTCCCCAATTTTTGTGAGCAGTGTAATATAACTGTTTGAATTTAAAACAACTGTATTATGATTTTATGAATATCGGTTTCCTTTCCGTTATTGAAGGGCTCAGAAATCAATCGGTGCAAGTCACTTCTCATTAAAAACGACTTATGCTATGCAAATATCCTTTCAGTCAAACTTTCCGCCGACAGAACAGTTATTACATCATAATAATCATATTACAGTTGACCAAACTTCTCTGCTGATTTCTGCTTATGAAAGAGTATCGATTTTAATAAAACGTGATTTACAGTGGTTTCTCTAAATTTTACGCGTATTAAATTGCTCGACATTCGTACGTACTGAAATTACCAAAAGTCTAAAAATCGAGTATTGAATGAGAAGAATGTGAACAAATAAAGAATACACTCATCTTTGATATATTTATTCAAAATTGCTACTGCAATATACTTTTGAATCTCTAATAAACAAACTAATTATTTTATGCGTCTCAAATTATCTCTACGACACTCTAGTATGGACTAAACGCTCGAAGAATTAGTTAGGCTTCTTGATCTTACCTGACTGGTTTTCCTCAATGGAAAGACTTTCCGACTTGCCTCTGTTCTTCAGGCTTGCTGATGATCCTCCCGATTCCTCGATTTCTACAGATGCTGTCGCTCCTCCCGAGACTACTACCGGTTTCTCTGATATACTCTTGACCGACGGCACTGCAGTTGCTATCTGCACGCAGACGAACGCTGCCAATACGAATAATGTGATCTTCATGATTCGCTACTTTAGATTGATGTAGCACGGTAACAGTGCCTCCGTTTTTATACTTGAATGAAAATTGAAGATCGACACCTGAATCGACGTCCCTCTTCCCACCCTATATTTTCATTTCCCTGTTGTTTTCTTTCTTGCACGATATAACAGATGTCAACTGTTTAATACAGCGATAAGTAATGACGTTCGTACGCGAAAGCTGGCGCGAATTACGTCCGGTCTTGTTGTGTTTTCACAGCGTGCTGAACGTTTTATGTTATTTTAAATTTCGGAGCGTTTCAACTGTCGCATATCGTTCATTTCAAAGCGTAACAGAATTATGCGTCTCCTTCGAAATGGTCTCCTTCAGCAAGTATTCTCACCGCTGGAAGCGTTTATTTCAACGTGTTTTCATAAGCCGATTTTGGAATCAGAATTCGAGTTGAGGATTATTTCCTCTCGGGTCTTGAAACGTTTCCTTCTCACGTTTTGAACATGGGAAAAGGATGAAGTCAACAGATGATAGTTGCGAATTTGATGTCAAAAGTTCTCGAACTAACAACGCCGTACGTGCCCGTGCACACGTTCTTCCTTTTAGGAAAATCAATATGTTTAGAAATCATAGAGCTGAAAATTTTCAACGCCGAACTTTTCGGTCGCATCTTGTATCTTAATATGTTTCTGCGTGGTGATATAAAAAGTAGGTGCATTACGTGTAATCACCAATTACGTTTGTTTCTTTGGAATTTAGTTAAAGTTTTGTAATTTAATTAATCTTGTTATATTTTCGATCTTCCTTTCTTAATTATTCGTTAAAGGTATAGTTATAGTTTTTGGAAAGAAGTACGACAGTTTCATTTTGTTGCTTCAAAATTGAGAAAAATCAAGATATTAGAACAGTATGATAATAAATAAAAGAAGATATCATCGTACATGAAAGTAATATAATAAATTAAGTATTTTTTATTACAAGTGCCGGAACTATGTTAATATTGCTTGCGTAAATATTTTTATTATTGCGCGCAAATAATAATAATAATAATACTTACTTCGACGAAACATATTGAAAATGTAATAGAAACACTAAATGGATATAATAAAAATAGAAATGGAAAATTGATGAACTAAATCCCGTTAAAAATAATAAAAGATACCACAAAAAAAACGTTGCCATAAAATAAAAAAAAAGTTCCAATTTTAAAAATTATTCTTTTGATAACGTATCTATCAATATTTAACAGGTGCCATGATATGTGACATATTATTTGATCACAGTATATTCAGGTGTTAAACATTTAAAACGTGAAAGGACATAAATATGTTTAAAAAAGTTCGTTTCTTCGCACATTTCACTGTTAACAAACGATCTCTCTACAGCAATTGGAAAGCTAAGTACCGTGAGTTCAAATTTTTATAATTTAAGTGTTGAAGGCATTAAATTAAAATGTAATTGTCCGATTTTGTTTCATAAAATTTGCCACAGCAACAAAGACTTAAAATGTACAACATTTATTTTAAATAAAAGTTTCTGTAATGTTTTTATTCTTATTTTTTTTTTTTTGAAATTTTAAACGATCATTTCTCAAACATGTATGTTACGTACAAAAAATAAATAACCACTATAGGTAAGATGAGAATAACTATTATGAGAAAAAGAAAAAAATACAAAACAAAATGAGAAATTTATTTTATTCGTCGATATAAAATAAAAATTGGATAAATTGAATGAGATCAATTGGTGTTGTCTGATTCCGTTTGAACGTCTATTTGGCCGAATCGTATCGAGGTGCCGACAAATTTAACGTGACAGCAACAACTGGACGGAAACCGAAAAGATTCATAGGAAAGCGAGTTATTATTCGTAAGTCCTACGAGTTGATGGTAAATGTATTTCTGTTTACAGATGGTTTTGTATCCTCCCGCAAAACCATCGATTAACTTGCAGCTTGAGTTTTCGTTCCTATAAAAAATTCAGATTCAGAAATCATACTCAAAGTATCAAAGTATTCTTCTTAAATTGCATGAAAAAGCCCATAGACTTTTAAGTCAAGAAAGTATATATATAAAATTATTTTCTACTTCAAGAAATTATCGAATTTCTTTTTACCGTGTAATATAATATTTTACTTATATAATTTTTACATCAGCAATTTTCAGCTGCTGATGTTTCATCATGTGAAACACATAGAGCGGGAAAGAGTTATTAAAACATTTTCATTTAGACAATAAAATACTCACAAGCATTTTTCTATCCGCACTCCCTGTACTACATCTTCGTTATTAACAATGTATAACCACTCGTTTTTTATATTTTGCGCTGTTTTTGGAATGACGATTTGCTCCTGAAATTATTTAAAAACATGTTAGGGTATATTATATGCTTGATGTTATTTGTGGTAAAATGTTACATGATATGTGATACACATTGATCTGTCGATACAATAATTCTTTCAGAATATTCTATGAATATAAAAAAGTGGAAAATATTATATAGACACTCGTAATTGTTGCAAAAATGAAAACTGCAGAGAACATTATTATGTAGATTTATTTATATATTTATTTGTGTGTGGTTTCAGTTACGTCAGCAAACAAACATCAGTATGTATGAAAAATTGATGCAAAATTAATGTCCATTTTATAGGATAGGGTAAAGTTTGTTGTATCTTGTCGCTGACAATTTTCTGCTGACAGAAATCGTTTTGAAAGTATTAATTCATAAATAACTTTATATATAGATAATTGTTTTTTACTGTGTATGTTTTCATATGTCTCTTTCACTTACACTGATTCTGAATTTATTTTACAACTTCGTAATTTTCATATGAAACTTTTTAATGAATTTTTAATGAAGTTTGTATATATATGTAACATTTTATCTATAGAATATTATAATATAAGCATATAAATATAATATAAGCATATAAGCATATAAAGCTTTAATTTTTAATGAAGTTTGTACATATACGTAACATTTTACCTATAGAATATTTTGACAAAAGTGAAGTACAATGATAATATGTATAATATTAATACTAAATTAATATTAAATATCATTCGACAGAAGTCGAGTATTAAGATATTACTTACAATTGACGCACAGAGTGATTCCGTATCGAGAAAGGAATTGTCTACCTTGGATCTAAATGTTTCCAACTGGAAGCAAATAATAATATTCAAAAAAAAGAAAAATACGAAATGGAAAATGTTCATCGTGTAGCGAATATTATATTTATAGCGAAAAAGATTGGAGGATTTTTAATATACTTATCTACAAAGATAAATACTGACCATGTCGACAGTTTTATAATTTTTAAGATGCGGATTTTTGCTAATAATTTCTTTCACCAAATTCGAAGGATAATTTGGAACATCCTCGCAGAAGGTTTGCTCTTGACAAGAAGGTGCCGTTTCCATTCTCATTGATTTGACGTTGGTATCGGGAAACACGATATTATCACTTTCTGATATCGTTATAACACGCATGTAAGAAAAGAATAAAAAAAAAAAGACAACGTTCACTTTTAATATTAAAAATCCCTGTAATTTAAAGTAATTTTTTTTGGAGAACAAACCGGCGTTGTTTATCTGCCTCGTGGATCGTTTGGTTTCTACCTTTGCGTCGTATTGATTAATAGGTAATCTCCAGCTTTCCGATAAAGAAACGCGGGGATTCTCGTACCATTGACGGGAATCACTGTGAACGTTGAACACCTTCCAAATAATAAGATGACACATTAAATTTTTGTTACTTCTGACTCTGTGAAATGCGAAGAAACCTGATTTCCTTCTTTAAAAAAGTACTTCATTTTTTCAAGTACAGGATGGTTCGTAACTGCATATATAATCAGATATAGGGTGAGTCTATGAGAAGAAATAAGTCGAAAAAAGGGAGAAAATGTTTTTCGACGCTCCGTTGTTTCGAGAAAACCAGCTCTAAAGTTTTATCTAGCACTATACACTCAAGTACGGCTTGACTTTCCAATCTTATCTCGTAGTAAATTAATATTACGAAGTCAATACTTGTGTTTATAAATATTTTCAATGTCACGGAAATGTATTATTCCTTTAAAAATCTCATATCGTTGGATATGTTTCTCATAGTTCCTTTTTTCTTTTGAAGTTCCTACGAACATTCTGTTAAATGCAGACACAATCTTTTCTTTTAACTGAACGATGCTTGTAACTTTATAAATAAAAATAAACCAGACAAAAGTAAATCTTCAGAGTTGACCCTCTCGAAAATGAAGAAAAAATTTTACTTATTTTTCCTCATAGAATTGTCCTGTTATACCAATTACGAGCCATTCTGTATAATGAGAAACTTGTATTTAAAATTATACGTATATCCCCAAGTATTTTCAGTAATTAAAAATGAAAAAAGACAAAACACAATTCATTTTGCATGTTAAAGTATTGAATTACTGTAACAATTGTAAAATCTTTATTTGTTGAAATTGATTGTTAGAAATTTTTAATTTAGTTCGAGATTCATACTTTGTAAAGTTTCTGTGAGATTTTTTCAACGAACAGTTTATTTCGACGTTCTTCAATTTTTGAAACAACAATTCTCAAATGTATTCAACGCTATTCAGAGAAATTATAACGTTTCCTTTATAGCGCAAATCCGTGTAGGAATTCTTTTCAAGCATGGCCAACGAGTTCTTTTCTGTATTGTTGGTGGGTTGGTCTACGTTAATGTTTTCCTTTCAGTATGAGAGATTCCAACGAGATACGTAGGAAATAAAGGAAGCGAGTGTAAAACAATTATTTTTAATTCAAACGGTATCTAATCTGTCCGATGCTCAGGAGGTCGAGCTCCTCTGTAATCAAAGGCTGACGCTCGCTTTGAGATTTCCGACAAGCCAGTGACCCACGACTGCAAAGACGGTTGGCCAGTTTAAGTTTTCGAAGCAGTCTACCGTGTCAGTACCGCGTTATTGTTCCACCTTGTAATCAAACTACTTAATAAATGAATTTCGTTCAGTTTATCTTCGCAGATTATTCAGATCGTAGCCCGAGAACCAAAGGTTTTAACTCTGTCACGATCTTCGAGCTTTTGTGTTCCAAGCTCGTCTTCGAATACGTTTCGATAAACAAAAATTCTCAATATCATATTTTACACATTAAGAATGAAAGAAGCTTTCATTTTGTATATTTTAAGAAAGATTTAAAGTAGAAAATTGTAATAAATATTCGTGCATATCGACGACGATTTTTTTTCCTACAAAAGTAAGAGATTTATTTTAACAGCTGAGAAGTATTATTTAGTAGTGAATGATCCAAAGAAATATAAATGAAATATTTCACGTTTGTTATATTTTGTAGTCTTCTATTATTTTCTGGTCGTTGAAAGAAGATTGTTTTTGTAATTAATTATTAATACATAACAGAAGCACGTGTTTTTGAATAATTTCGTGAAGAAAATATCCGGAATTATAATATAAAAATATACTATACTTGCCTGTAACAGGACAATGACAATGTTCAACGCAGCAATCATGTTCCGATGTTCCTTCATTTTATGCTGACGAAACAACTTCCTCCTTTGCTCGAAATGACTTCTTTTTTTTTTTTCTTCCTCGTGCACGATCTAACGAATTGTCTTTTTCGATCTAGTCACTAGACTTAACATAAGAAGCGAGAGACGGATTGTCGGACAACGAAACTACCAGCGTCGACGACTTTTTGATGACTGATTCTGTTTTTCAAGTTATGCGGTCTGGCGTGCTGCTATCAACAACATCCGCTTCTTTGTCTTGATCTTTGGTACTGAAATCCATTTCTAGAGGCGATTATTCATCACAGCCAATTATTCATCTATTTATCTACGTTACATAACGTGAGATAAGCGACAAATCGTTTCTGAAAATTGCAACAATGATCATTTTTCTCAGGCAATTTCTTACTATCTTCAAGTCTTTCGTAAATACATTAAAAAGCCAGTTTCATGTAAAAAATTTTAAAAACTTGACAAAAACGAGCGATCGCTGACAGTGATTCAATTCCTCTTCGACTCGTTCACCAGTCGATTTAGATAATATCTTATTTATATAATATTATTACATTTCCGATTCCGGAAAAAAATAAAACGGAATTTCATTTCAGATTAACTGCACTATCAGCTCGAGTAAGTATTTAGCAACTGTGGATTTCTGGACAGAGAGGCTTATATCGTAGTTAGTGCGACTGCCTCGAAAATATCGATCAAGTTGTTCAATGGATTGACAGAGATGATAGTATCCCAAACTGACGAAATAAAACTTTCATCCGTTCAAAATGAATTTTCTAATTGAATTTATTAATGTGCTCTTTTACACGTATATACATATATACAAACTTTACAACCTTTTAACATTACGCGCTACGTTTCACTGCTTCTACGTTTCACTGATTTTATGTTTCCTTTCACTCTTTTATTTCAATGCATCTGATGTATCTTCTGTACAGCGATTCGTGGAAGAGTATTTGAACATTTGCAGGAAGACTTCCTAAGTACATTGTGTGCGTTGTACACGATAGACCAACACTATGACCTAAAAAAAAAAAAATTATTGCAAATACATGTCTCTAGATTATTATAACTAATTCCATGATATATGATTCGTACTATATGCCAATATTTTATCACGTTTATTCTTGCAATAAGAATTACAATGTAATCACGATAGTTGTTAATATTAATGAAATTCGAATACATGCAATATATTCGCAAAATCTTTCTACGGTAAATGTTCAAATACTCTCGCGAGTCGCCGTTTGTATTCCATTGCAAAATGGAGTATTGCAGTTGTTATAAGAAAAAATGATGATGTGTTTTTTATAATAGTAGTTTTTTTTACCGTAAGATTTGTCGCGTTAGATTTGATCTGTATCTCATTCAAGGCTATTTCCTTGGTTATAATCCCCCTCGGGACTTTCGTGGCTGTCCTCCCTCTCGTCCCTGAGAATAACGTAATAGCAAGTCGTTGCCTTGAGCGGCCGCTTTCCAACGCTTTTCTGCTCGTCTTCCTCTGACTCTGGAATTTTCGGATACTCCAGCATCCACGTTCTAGTACCACCTATTTGATAAGCGGTTAAAGCTTCAGTCGGCCATTCAGGACCAGGTGTTTGTCTCGTTTTTCTCTTTTTTCTAACTGAAAATCGAAGTGGACGGCTGTAGATAAAATAAAACGAACCTGCGTTCCTCTGTTTAGCATCAATATTACTGTAATTGATACACGTGATTCCAAAGGGACATTTGAAAAAATTTTATTTAATTGTAATATTTATGGAAGTTAAATATGATAAAATTGTGCAGTATAAAGAACTCTAAAAAATAGAGAGATATTATGTCTATAATGGTATTTATGCATGGATATCATAAAACTTAAAAATACACGTGTATGCTTAAAGTTTGAGGTAAAATATTACGTTTGTTATCTTTGTGCATCTCTTCACTCGGTATTTCCTCAGTTTTTCCACTTTTAATTTCTTCCTCCGATTCGTCTTCTTCACTATAAGTTCTCTCCTCCGGAACAGTTTCCGTTTCTTCATCACCAGCTACATCATTTGCCACCAAATCATCTTCGCCGCTGTAAGTCTTCTCCCTCGGAACAGTTTCTGTTTCTTTGTCATTAGCTGCACCATTTTCTACCGAATCATCTTTATCTAAATTTGTTTTCGATTCTACATCTTCCTCCTTGACTTCATCATTTGCACTCTTCGTTGTCCACGGCGAGGTGTCTTGTCTTGGATTCCTTTCGATTTGATCCTCGTAATCACGATCCTCGCAACATTTTTCATATCCTTCGTCTTCGTATTCATTTTTATTTTCGATAATTTGCAACATAGACCGAACCTTATGTCTGTTGCTATTATTTTTCCAATAACTCTTCTCGGTAGTCGTCGACGTTTCAGTAATCATGAAAATAGAATCGTCCGTAAATCGAAGGCTACAGTTTTCACACGTGAAAATTGGCTCCTCGATTTGCATCTTTGTAATATCATTTCTACTAGTAGCTTGATCAATTCGGAACTGGGGACGAACATGCTCTTTCGCATGAATAATTCGTTTAAATCGATCCTGCTCTGTCAACGATCGTTTTCTTTCACTTTTCTCGTCCTCGAATTCCGTTTGCGATTCCCCACGGTCCTTTGTAGATCTAGGTCCTTCAGTCCATTCGTGATCTTTTAGATATAATCCACTGATCTTTGTTCCCTGCTCTTTGGCGTCCACTTGTCCTGGAACGAACGGTAAACAAACCCTCTTCGTCACCAAGCCTTCAGCCTGTTTTCCCAAAGGTTTTGCCTTTAAAACATTCATACAAATCCTCGTTGTACCTTTTCGTTTCCTCTCTTTTTCTACTTCTTCCTGCTCCTCCTCCTCCTCGCGAGACAGTGTAACGATTTTTCTTACACTAGACTCCGTTTTAGGTTCCATCGCCGTTGATTCTCGAATCTCAATCGTCGTTCCCTCTGTAGGTGGCAACTGCGAGAAAGATGGCGTCATAAACGTCGATCCCTCGTAAGGGGACACCGTGGGCAATGTAATTTCTTCTCCCCTCTCTAACTTCTCTTCCAATTCTGTTATCATCGCCTCGAACTCCTCCTTCTCCTTCTGGAATTTCTTCTCCCTTTCTTCCAATTTTCTCTCCTCCTCCTTCAACCACTTCTCCTTTTCGAAATACTTCTTCTCCAGGAGTTTAACTTCTTCTTCGAGCTCGTCCTTCGTCGTCATTTCAGGAGTTACCGTCGTTTTCGGTTTCATTGGAGCGACACCAATTTCAGAAGTCATAGCTTCGATCGTAGGCATTGTCTCGGACAGAGCTGGTGACTCTTCAGTATCAGGTTTTGAGACAAATATAGTCTGTTGACGACCGGCTTTCATTTCTTGCTGTTTCACATACAGCGAGTGTATCAATTTCTCCTTTTCCATCTGCCAATCTTCCTCTCTCCTCTCCAGCTCTTTCTCTCTTTCCAGAATCTCTTCCTCCGTTTCTTCTAATTTCTTCAGCTCCTCTATCAGCTCTACTTTCCTTTCCTCTTGGCGTTGTTTCTTTTCTTGTTGACTCGTGGTACGTGTCACAACGAGGCTTGACATTTCGGGAGAGACAGGTAACTCGGTGACTCTTGAGATTTCTACGGTAACCGTAGTAGGTTTCGTCACTTTCTCCGATATCGTCACATTTTCTTCCAAGTAATCGAGTGGCAAGTGTTCCGTAGTGAACTCCGAAGTTGGAGGCAGCGTATATATCAAAGTAGTTCCGAATGTAGTTGGTGTTTCAGGTGTTATTATTTCCTCAGTGATGAATGGGATGGGAATGGTAGATATAATTTCAGGTACAGTTACGAAGGGAGTTGTAATGTTGTTCAGCTCTTCCTTGATGATTGTAACTTCTATTCGAATAATTTCTTTCGTCGTGGTTTCCATTTTCGGCGTCGTGGTTTCTTCTATATACTCGTACCAAATTGGACTGAACGTCTTTTCTTTCTCCTCTTCTTCTTCTTCTTCTTCGTATTCTTCGTATTCTTCGTATTCTTCCTCGTGTGTTGTTACCACTTCATATATTTCTTCTTCTGTTGTTGTAATTCGTTCAGTTGTAATGATGGGTGTTACTTCTAGGGTAAATTCAGTCGTTACAATTTCGGTTGTTCCAATTACATAAGGAGTTGTAACATTAACTTCCCAATGAATTACTATTGGCGTTGTTATCTCTGTTGTTTCTATAAGTATCGATGATTCGGTTGTAACAGGATATTCTGTTGTAGTAGAGGTTGATTCAATAGTTTTCTCAGTTGTAGTCATATTAGCTGTTGTTTCCTCAATATATTCATACACGGTAATAGTTGTAATTTTTTTAATGACTTCAGTTGTAATTGTTGAAACTATTACCGTTGTAATTTCTGGCATTTTAATAGTGGTAAATGGTGTTTCCGCGGTAATATTTATTACTTCGATAATTGGGGAAGTAACTTCACCTGCAGTCGTGGTTTCAATTGTTTCTATTGTTGTAGTTGGAACGATGAAAGTTGTAATTACTAACATTTCTGTAGTGATGAGTGGTGTCTCCGTAGTAATATTTGTTACTTCAACAACAGGCGAAGTAATTTCAACTTCAAGTGTGATTGTCGTTTCAGTTGTTTCTGTTTTTGTTATAATTTTCGGTGTTTCAGTAGTAGTATGTGTGATTTCTGTAGTTATGTTTGTAATTTCGGTAATGGGTGAGCTTTTTTCTGTTACGACATAGAATGTTGTTTCAGTAGTTTCCGTTGTTACAGTGATTGGTACTATTGTCGTTGAGATAGTTGTGGTATATGGAGTTGTAGTTTCAATATATGGTGTTCTTGTAGTTACATTTGTAATTTCAGTGATGGGTGAAGTAATTACAACGTGGAATGTTGTTTCAGTAATTTCCGTTGTTATGACCGTAGGAATTGTTGAAATAATTTCAGTTGTTATATAAGGAATTGTAACAATTTCAGTAGTTGTATATGGTGTTTCCGTGGTGGTATTTACAGATATCGTAATTTCAGTTACGTGCAAAGTTGTTTCAGTTAGTATGACAACCGGTACTGTTTCTGTTGTTACGGTGGTAGATTCAATAGTATATGGAGTTGTAATTTCAGTCGTGATATATAGCGTTTCCGTAGTAATATTTACAACTTCGATAATAGGTGTTGTAATTTCAGTTACGTGGAATGTTGTTCCAGTCGTTACAATAATCGGTATTGTTTCTACTGTTATAGTGGTAACCTCAGTTGTAACAGTTTCAGTAGTAATATATGGGATTGT